GAGACAAATTAGCTGTATAACAATTTTAACTATCTTATATATACATATATTTTTTTCCTTTTTTCATTTCCCCTTTCCCCATCCCAGTTTGTCTTTTCTTTTGAACAGCTTCTTCCCAATTCCCAATATCTATTGTGTATTTTGGATCTTATTTACTTGTTGGATCTACTAGGAAGACGACAATAGACAACAATACACAATGTATCAATTATTGTAACTGTACCAATAACTTGTTTTGAAACTCAGTTTCACTGTTATGTTTTTTTTAAAAAGGAAAGAACAACTGGGATGAGGAAAAGCAGAAAAGGAAGCCTGTGTGTGTGGGTGTGGGTGTGGGTGGGTAGGTGTATACACACACGTTAGCTAAGATATCTATACTTGTAATTCCTAGTGGTTTACTGAAAGGAACAGTTAATGTTTAGTTGTTTGATCAATCTTGCATTCTTACACCTGGTAATCTGAGCAACTTCACTGAAGATAAAAATACATATTATAACAACCATTGTTAATTTTCTATCATCCTATTTTGAAATTCTGCATTGTTTTTATTGATTTTGTGTTGTTTTGTTTTTGTCTTTGTTGTTATTTGTTTTCAGGTTTTTTCTTCTTTAAAATAAAAGAATGTGTTATAGCCAGTAGAATCTGGGTTGAAAGTTGAAAGTAAACTACTTTTTGTGTCCCTTACCAGAGAAATTCTGAAAAAAACTAGTTTTCAGATCAATATTTGCATACCAGGTATGAGGGTACTAGTAATTTGGTAAAGCCATAAAATGACATTGGGTACAGAAGCTGCAATTACAGTCACCATCAGCATGAGCACACAATCAATCACTGTCATTCTGCAAGAGCCATCTGTGTTCTGGACAGTCCAAATTAATGAGCAGAAAGTGTCATGGGAGTGACTCTCCCTGCATCCTGCAAGGGTTTGATCATGGTACCTGTCTGTACAGTTATTCTGGGAATGTAGAACTGTTTTTATTTACTGTTTTCCTATGAAGGGACCATTCTAGTAGCTTCAATTTGTGCTACATTAATAGCATTCACTTCACAGGTCAAGGGACCAGTGTGAGACTCTGTCAAGATCTGACTATGTCTATTCCAATGATGTATTCTGGAGGTGGGGGAAATGACCACCAGAAGGGGCTGGGAACACAGTAGGTCTACTATGGGATGGACTTGAGCTAACTCCATTAATCATTTGAGCTCCATATTCGCTTATGTTTTGGATCTCTTTGACTTGGAGACAGGTTGAGAAATCCCTGAATATCTGATGATTTCCTTTCCCCTGCTTCATAGTCATCTCGGGAAAAGGCCATGACCCTCTTTGGAGAATGATGAGGAAATAGTCACATCATAAATTCCTGGTAGTGTAGTAAGATTGTTCCTCAAGGGGAACTCCCCTTCTTTCTAGGGATTCTGGGTCTTTCACTGGGCTCAAGTCTGTCAGTTGATTCAAGGGCCGTAATTCTCTGTTTGTATCACTCAGGATGAACTGCTGCTCATTTGACCTGGAACTTCTCTGTATGTTCAGATAAAGTTAGGCCTCATAGACTCGATACTTATCTGGATTTTAGGAACAACTTGATCAACTAGCCAGTGCCATGGGTCTCGGCAAATCAGATAACTCATTTGCTCTGAGTATGTTGTCCATTATGGTGACATGCCACCTTGACTTCGGTGGTAAAGCACTACACTGTACTGCTCTCATCCCAAGATTCAATTATTTCCCTCACCTGCAAGAATCCCCAACCTGTGACTGCACTTTCTCCTAGAACTTCTGACCACAGAGATCCTAAAGGATGATGGAACTTCCCTCAAAAACATGTTTCACACAGTCATGGCACAAGACGTGTCTTCAGCCCATGAACTCCATAGATGGCTGCAGATGGTTCATGACAACTCTATTTGAATACTTCTGTCTCCTTGAGCCTTTGGATGTGCTCCTGTCCAGTACACCAAGGCAGCTCAGGAAGTTGCAATTCAGTTAGGTTACTAATGTTCCTATTGTTTACTAACATTCATCTATTGTACCTGTTTTGCTCACAGAAACCAATAATTAAAGCCCATTTTTACTTCAGCAACAGCCTTAATCCAGATTCTGTGTTTAGGGGCCCATCTCAATATTAGCAGTCTGAACATATTTTAATTTCCTTCCACCATGATCTCAACCCTCTCTGTACACATTCCCATAAGTATTCCAATAATCTGTTTGCATAAATTACAAACACCATGCAGTTGCTCAGGCTACAGTGCAGTTCTCCCTGCGTCACATTTTTACCTCATATCTAAAGGCTGGCTAGGATTTAAGCCTACTTATAGGTCCAGAAGCACAGAGGTGGTAGTGTTTTGTCCTGAGGAAAATTGCAGTGTCTTGTAACTCCCTTCAGGAGGTGCTGCACGTTCTTCAGTCAGAGGCAGACATTTCCAAGGACAATTCTTGGAAGTAAAGAGAAGGTCCCCCAGTAGAGACCACACTGATGGCACTCCCCATCAATGAAAGAGCTAGGATGTGTGGGCTGCTGTGAGCACAACTGCGCTGAGCTCTTGTGCAGGAAGACTGCCAGCTCCCTTGTATATGTGGTTCCTGCTCCACCATGCTCCATTGCCAGTCCTTTTCTGCAAATTCCTGTCCATGCACATGTCCCAGAAAATGCTTCATGATAAAAGAAAAATCACAAAATGCTGATGGAAGTAGAAAGTCCAAATGTAAATTAGCCCCATAAAACTGTGTTTTCCTTTCCAACATATAAAGACAAAATAAGAAGATTCCATTCATCCACTAGAAATGGACCCTTACCAAATGTGGAATGTGCTGGTAACTTGGACTTGGAATTCCCACCCTCCCACTTTGTGAGAAATGTATGTGTGTCCTCTACAAGCTACACCTTCTGTGATGTTTTGTTATGGCAGCTCGAATGCACTAAAACTCACAAGAGTAGGTGCTGCTAGAAGAAATACCTAACATGTAGGTGTGGACTAGGAACTGGGCAGTGGGAGGAAGATGGTGGATTTTCAAGGAACCTTCTGGGAGAAGAAGCTATGGAAGAGAAGAGGGGAGCTGAAGTGAAGTTTCCATGTTCTTGGAGAATGTTTAAGTGGTTGTGAACAGAATGTTTGGTAGAAGTATGGATGGGAAAGCCCATTCTGATGAGGTCTCCAGTAGAAATGAGGAAAGCATCCAAAAGTTGTTCCCTGCTAGAATCTGGCAATTAAATTGGCTGAATGTTATGCATGTATTAGTATGTTTTGGAGAGTAAAGATGGTTTGTGATACATGCTTTGATTGAATAAATTACTACAGAATCTTTTGAAGGAGGCTTTGTTGCTATTCAAAACTTATAGTAGAATGCAAGAGAACTAAATCACTTAAAAGTAAAAGTTTTCACCTAGAAGGCAGCAGAAGTTGATACTTTTGAAATTTTTCATCCTGTGATATAAAACATGAGAAAAATACCTGATGCCCAAAATTAAGGAAGGAAAGGTTTATTTTGCTTTATTTTGTGGAGGTTTTAGTCCATACTTGGCAGGTTAAAAGGCAGAGTGGCACATGGCAGAGGGCTACAGCTCATGGGGGCAGAACACAGCAAAAGCAACAAGTACACAAGGGAGGAATGGCCGCAAGCAGCCTCTTGCTCTCCCTTACATATGCAAACTATCCACCCCAGGGCGGGTGTAGCTCTCACACCCATAATCAATCAAACTCTAAAAGCCTGCCCCATGGCTGCATGAGGCTTTGCGGGGGACACACAGACACAAACCATAACAGTGTGCTCCATATCCAACATCATGGCTGTGGTCCAAGGACAGTTTGGTAGGGAGATGAGGATGGGTCCACCAGGGGTTATTGATTAAGACAATAGAAGGATGCTCCTGAGGATATTTCGGAAATCACTGCATCTGCCACTGTCATCATGGGCTTAGAGTACTAGGAACTGGGAGACAGAAGGTTTTCAAATATGGAGTACAAGTTTCTGCAGGATCTTAGTACACACTGCCTAGTGGTGCTTCACAGCTCTGCTGCAAATTCTGGAGCCCTAATTGTTCAACTACCTCCAAATATAGATACAGTAGACCAAGGTGTGTCATGGACCACACTGGCTACCCTCTCAGGAGCACTGGTGGCCAACGTCAGGGGTGTCGATGTGGGCCCTCCTCTGAAAGAGTACAGATTTCCTGAGCTGTGGCCCTCCTCTGAAAGAGTACAGATTTCCTGAGCTCAGATTTCCTGAGCTTGTTGTCTCTACCACATAGATATTAAAGGCCCCACCCAGAGTTTCAGTTTAAGGATCCAGACCTCACTGTTGAGACAGCAATGCCCAGTGAAGCAATTCAGTGGATGAAAATGCAAGACCCTAGTGGAGGAATCATTTTTGGGATGACTTTAGCATGGGCTCTGCTGAGAAAACCCATAGGGCAGAGTTTCCTTGAGCCTTGGGGATGCACTGTGTGCCCCAGTGTGTCCCAGTGTGTCCGAAAGATGGGGCTTCTAGTCATGCATCTTGAACTCTACAGCGTAATGTTGCATGCTATGTTGGCTTTTACAATTATTTGAGCTTGTTATCCCTTTCTTATTTCCCATCTCTCCCTTCTAGAATGGGAATGTCTATCCAAGGCCTCTCCAACAACTGTGGTTTAGAAGCATATGCCTTTTTGGACTTCCCAGCTGCATAACGTGATTTGAATCAAGATGAATTGTACCTAGAATGTCACCCATATCAAACTTCAGTAATATTCATGGTGAAACCTCATGACCAGTGTCATAGTAATAAGATGGTAGGGTCACCAGGTGTTGAATTGGCTAAGAGGGCACACTCTTCATGAATAAGACTTGTATCCTCACAAAAGAAGATTCAGAGAGTTGCCTGGCCCCTTTCCACCAGGGAGAAGTTCCCCTATGAACCAGGACACAGCCTTAGTCAGACACAGAATATACTGTTTGCTTGAGCTTGGACTTCTGAGACTTCAGAAATGTTAAAAAGCAAATTTCTCTTGTTTGTGAAATACTTATTCTATCAATTTTTATTATTTCATCTAGAAGAGACTGAGACACAGTGTGATTTGATGTGTGCTTAACCTGGGCACATGCCTCTCCTGCACCAGGGTGCTGTGCTGGGCTGTGGCCAGTGATCTCAGTGCTCACATGAAGGCTGTAGGCATGTTGCTATCACACACTGCTGCCTCCCCTGTCCATGCCAGCTTCTGGCACGTGACACATGACCCATGTTGAGGATGTGTGAGTCGCAGTCATGAGGAAACCACAAGCCCAATTATGACTCTCCTGTCTACAGATCTCTGTCTACTGCGTCTTTTTACCCACACAGGTCTCCCATTTCCCCTCAGCCCCCTCAGAAGCTGTCACAGCAAAGCACAGGGCCTATGCACTGAACACTTGCAGGTCCTACATTGTCTGGTCCACAGGAGACCTCCCCACAGAATGTGGTTGACCCTAGACACCAGTGTGGTCACAGTTCTGTCCAGGGTCAGTTTTCTCCCTTTGAAAATGGGAATGGGTCACAGTATCTACACCACTCTACTCTACACTACAGTGAATCACTACAGAATGAAGAATGTCAAGAGTTGATTGCCTGTTTGATCTGCTAAGGAGGAAAGGGGTACAAGGACCAATTGCACTTGGGAAATCAGAGACTAGGATCCATGGCATTTTGCTCAAATAAAACAAAGGGGCTTTGGATATGGGGCCGGAAGAAGCCAACAGAGGTATATGAGACTACTACACAGGGATGCAAAGGCTGTATCTACCCAAATTGCTCAGTAGATGGTGACAATGTCCAGCATAGAACAGTTGCACAAAAGGTGAGAAAGATGGGAATTTGACATAGCCAGGACATGTGACTAAGATCTTCCTCAACAGTACCCTGGCCTCGCTGCACAACTTGGCAAACCAAGTTTGCCTTCAGAGCTTCAGCTGGACTGCGTCATCAGAGGGCCCAGTGGCTAGCAGTGTGGCCAGGAAGCAGTGCCCTTACGGGAGAAGACAAGGAGTGCCTAGGGTCATGTAGACAGAGAATCGTGGTGTGGCGGGGAGCTCCAGCAGGGAGGTGAGACTAGCTGACAGGCTGAAAAGTGAGGAGGGGAAAGGAGTTTGGCATCATAACAAGCGGTAGGCTAACTTCACATCCTCTTGGAATGCTGTCTCCACACGGAAGGATGTCAGCACCTAGGACAGAAGTGGAACTTGTCTGTATTCCTGAGCAGCCCCTGGCTCCTAATAATTTTGTCCTACCTCCTTAATGCAGCCCTCAGACTGCTAGAAGGAGCAGCCTGTGCTTCCATGCAGGGCAACGGAATAAGCCAGTTCCCCCAGCTGCCAGCCACCGCCCTACTCTGCAGGACCACACCATGCCCAGTTCACCCCTACGCTTCAAGAGCACAGCCCACCCACCACACAGGCCCTGAGAGGGCCCACCCTGAAAATGCCTTTCCCTATTCCATAAAGGCTGCTCCTGCCGAATCCATGTCACAGCTATGCCAAGGCGCACTCTGTCCCACAGGCCCTGCCCAGACCCTCTCACTCACATGGTGCAGAAGCAGCAGAATCTCCACCATGGCTAGGTGCTTTCCCAGACATTGGCGCATCCCAAAGGCAAAGGCCAGGTTGCTGAAGCCCTGCTTGTTGTTCAGCCAGCGCTGGGGGTTGTAGTGCTCAGGACTCAGGAATACCTCGGGGTTTTGGCCCATGGCATACAGATATAAAAGCACCCCAGTCTGAAGACAGATGTGGAGGAAGGTATCAGATGGACAGAGTGGCAACTTGCAACAGGGACCAAGAGATGCTCTCACCCCTGCCGGGACTTGATAGTTCTGAAGCACCAAGTGTGAGCCCAGGATTCTCTCCAGAAAAAGCCCGACAGGGTACAGCCTGGGAACGGGAGACCAACAGAGATGCTTCAGCTGTGGCAGGTCTCATCACCAGTCTTCCAACCAGTGTCCCTGAAAGGGACACCACTCACCCTGAGGGCGGGCTTTCATGGATCTGCAGGGCTCACCCAGACATCCCCCAACCGGGGCAGCTCAGGTTAAAGAGAACATAGAGGTAAGCACAGAATGTTGAGGTGGGATCCCGAGGAAGAGCCGCACACACAGATACACCATTAGGCCTTGGAGAGGAGTCAAGGAGCAGTGAGTTCCCAGGAGAAGCTGCTCATCAGCTCCACCTCTGTCCTCAAAACGCCTGAGCAGAGACCCAGGGCACTGGGAGGGTTGAGCTGGCCCCTACCTCAGGGTCTCCTTGATGGCTGCCTGCAGAAGGGAAAGGTCTATGGTGACCCTCAGCGGATTCCTAGAAATGCTGGACTCAGCAGCCAGGCTGTCCTGCTGAAAGGCCTCCTGCGGGGTGGGGTTCCTGGCCAACTCAGAGAGAGTCATCACCAAGGGGAAGGCCATCTGCAGGAGCCAGAGGGCAGGGGTCAGAGTGCACACTGCCATGTCCTCCATTCAGGGCAGCCCTCCCATGAGCACACAGTATAGGATAGGCTCGCCATCCTGGACCTTAGGACTCGGATCCTATGCACAAGTCCTGAGGGAAAAGCCCCCATCCCATATCACTTCAGTGTCTGTGGCCCACACTCTTTCTGGAGCCTCAGAGAGTGACCCAAGGCATCACTAAGAAGAGCATCAGAGACCACATCCATCAGCTTCTAATGGCTTTTCTGCCCTGGCAGTCCACAGACCTCAGTACTATACTAACAGGAAAAGGTCCCCCAGGGCCTATGCATTTCCATATCCAGGCGCATATCTGGTGCCATGAAACAGATTTCCCATTGTCCTTCTGTGATCTGTGCCTCACTGTCTCCAAAATGGATCACTGTGTGACCTCACTCACAGAAATGGCCTACCAACAGCCTCCCTGATACTGTGGCACTTCCCTGCAAGCACCCCTCTCTCCCTGCAGGGTCAGAAGGGCAGACTCTGATCTCATACTGCCATGGTAGGCTTTCTCTAGCCATGACATGAAGGACGTGTGCAGGGGCCATTCCTGATGGGAGCCCTACCCGCCTCTGCCTCATGTCCTGCATGTCTACCCGTCTCAACCAGCCTGATGCCTTGCCAGGTCTGCAGTATTTCGTGCCCTGCACTGATCTCTCCTTCCCTCCCCGGTGCTCACCTGTTTTCTTTGCTTTGTTACTGCACATTTGGCCCAATGTCTCACTGTTCCCACATGAACTCTCCCGGGCACTTGCCCTTGGTGGTTGCATCCTGGCCTTTGCTCCTGAGTGTCCCAACCTGGCTTGGTTCTCTGCTCTGAATGCAGCGGCCTGTTTGTGAGTATGCCCTGAGCAGATGCTATGGGCAGAAGGGTCTCTCTGTGATAGAGAAGATTCTGCCAGGGGCCCAGTGCCATCCTCCTACCTGTGCTGCGACCAGCTCCCTCTGTCCCAGGAGCACCCTAAAGCTCTTACCCTCCTCTGCTCTGGCCTTTAAGCATCTTTGCTTAATGCCCATGCTACCTGGCAGGCTTTGCTGTGTGACCCTCCACTGGCCTCTCAGCGCCTCCCCGTCCTCCCAGGTCCCGCTATGTGCACATGTGGGGAAGGCTGCTTGCAGGAAGGCCATCTTCACTCTGCCCATAGCTCCACATGGCTCCCCACACCAACGGATGCCGAATCTGTGATTCTCTCTGTGGGCTCCATTGTTCTACCCTGCCCAACCTTTCCGTCATTTCCTAGCTGAACGCACGAGCAGTGCAGGGCCAAGGCCTGAGGTGGGGCTTGTGGGTGACTATGCATAAAAAGGCCCTGCAAAGAGTCCAGGTGGGCTTCATGTCCATGGTGTTGTAGCTGCTGGCCTGACCGTGTCCACACTCCCTGTAAGGAGGTCCAGAGCGTTGGCCCTGATGCCATTTACTGAGAAGTTCCCCTGCCACAACAGCTCTGTCACGATGCCTCTGCAGTACTGAGGGCCACCTCGAGTGAGCTCCTGATATTTCTTCTGGATGCAGTTTTCAGTTGCGGAGGAAGGAGAGGGTTCAGCATCCCAGAGCTGGGAACATTGCTTCCTTGTTCTTCTCCTCCTTATCTGCCTAGGACACCTCCTAATCTCTGTGCTCCCTCTATTATCTCCACGCTAGGCCACCCCCAGTCTCCTGCCAACACACTAGCAAGACCACAGAATGCCATTCCCCTGCTGTGTGGACTCCTGTGGCCCTGTGGGGAGTGGGGAGAGATGCATGGGAAAGTATATGCCTCTCTTGTCACTGGGCCTCACCAGACTCAGGATGGTGTCCCAGGCCTCAAAGTGCTCCTTCCACACATGACTGCTTGTCCAGTGGGACAGGCTCCTGGGCAGGAACATGAGCTTCATGGTGGTTTTGAATATGGCATCCAAGGCATGCTTGAAGTACAGCATATCAGAGCTGGGGTTGGACCAAGGAGGCCCAAAGATTGGACCAAGGAGGCCCAATCTTTCTCCAAAAAGGGCAAAGTTGCTGGCTGCAGAGAGAATGGCATTGCTGGCTTAAGACAGTCACAGGGCTGGGGATGTAACTCAGTGGCACAAGCGCCTGCCTGGCAAGTGCAAGGTCCTGAGTTCATCCCTGTAACAACAACAACAACAGCAACAACAAAAAAGACGATTCTGGCCTTGGATTACCACCCCAGCCCTCTATACACCATTGCTGGCCACCTGCACCTATCCTGGGATTAGGAACAACCTGGAACCCACCTTCTGTGGTATAGTTAAGAATGCTGGACTGGATGTCCAGTGTCAGGCTCCCCTGGGCATTCTATAGCACCCTCTTCTTCAGAGCATCTGTGAATTCTCTTGCCACTGTGTCCACCGTGGGGAGGAACTTTCACATTGCTTCTGGGGACAGCACATTTGGGTTCAGCAGCAGTCGGTCATTGTGCCATTCAGGTCCATCCCTGCAGGGTAGAGCAGAGCTGGACTCATCCTAGCCCCTCCTTCCTAGTCTCTAGAAGGAACTGGCTGTCAGAGGAGGGTGTCTGTGTCCATAGAGACAGGCTGCTGTAGTCCTTGTTGCATCCCTTTCCCTCAGAGTCATCTGCATGTGCTGGTACTATAATCACTAAAGTCTAAATGGGGATGAGACAGCAAACTCTGCTTGAAGTGCTCTTGCAGTTAGGCGTTTTCCTTTGTCTGAACTCCTAGTCCCCAAGTTCTGCTCTCACAGTGCCCATGCCAGCCTTGCCTGGGTAGGGAGGATGTTGGTCTGACTGTGAAGTTATGCCCACCTGATTCACACTATATCCCAAGGGGAGAGGACTGGCCTCCCACTTCCCTGTCCCTCCCTGTGGGACATGCTGCCTCTGTCACTAGCATCTGCCTATGGCCAAGCGGGTCCCCATGTTATTTCCAGTGGGATACAAATGACAGCACTCTCTATATTTCCTAGCCACAGTCTAGAGTTTGGGACGGTCTGAGGAGTTTCTCCATGCAATGGCAGGCAGCAATTTACACTCTGAGCCACACACCAGCTGGTTTCTATGGCTGATGCCTGAAACTATGGACAATGATCACACCCATAGGTACACACACACACATTTCTGCCTACACCAGAACTCAAACCCATGTGCAAATATATGCATGCACTCATGTGGGCAAATAGACATAAGAGCCATGCACATATGGAAATGCACACGCAGAGACACAGACACCCAATATGTATTTCTTTCTATACACATGCACACATATGACCATGTATGAGCCAACAATACCCACACAGATGCACATAACAAGTATATATCAGAGGCAAGATATGTACACATGCGCACGTGCACACACACACACACACACACACACACACACACGCACTACTTCTCTGATTCCTTCACATTCACATGCCCTCCCTTTTCCCTGGCCTTCCATTTCGTCTTCCATCACTGCCAGCTGCCTCTTCTCTTAATGACCACACTCAAGGGACCTCTTTCCTTCAACCCTGCTATCCCAAGAGAATTCACCTCCTGACAAGGTGGCATGAATGCCCACCACCCACCATCTGCCTTTTAGCACTCTGTACTACTGATGATCGCCTCTCTCCAGCTGGTCTGCCTCAATTGCCAGCTTCTTCTTGCTTACCTGTGCAGGTGTCCCCTGCTTCCACAAGAAGGTTTTGGGTCCCATGCCACTAGCCCACGTAGGTCTTTGCTTCTTAGCACAAAGAGCCATCCACATCCTGCATCCCCATCACCCTGATCCCCAGGACTCTCTCCTACAGAGTAAAGGATACCTTATCTCTTGGTGGGCACCAGTGGGAGGGAGGCTGCAGCCCGGTGGACATCAAGATCTGGAATATGCTGGCTGTGGCCCTGGGCCATTTTCTTCCCTTCTCAGGGCACACATCTCTTCTTGGCAGTCACCGTATTTCCACTTTACCTCATAGAGCCCAGGGTAGGTGTGCCTTAGAGTCTCCTCCTTCCTGCCTGTTCTCTGTCTGGACAAAATCCCACCTCCCTCCTCATCCTAACTGGCTCCTTACAGCAAGAACATGCCAGGCTTCTGCCCTTGGCGATTCCTGTAGGCCATCCAGGGCTCCAGTTTCATGCGGTGGGGATGCAGGCTCTCTGCCTGGTGCAGCCGCTCAGCATCTTCTGGCAGCATCACAGAGACTATCCATGTTCTTCCCACATCATACCTATGAGAAAGCACACAAGGCCCTGCTGTAGCTGCTCTGTCATCAGTGCAGATGACAAACCTCCCCTTTCTCCTGAATTTCTCTTTGCACCTGGCCCTCTCCATTTCAATGCTTCTGCATTCTGACCCCACTAAATTGATTCCTGTTTTGTTCTGTCCTTATTAGAGTCATGATCTCCATGGCAAAGATTCAGTACAGCAGCTCACCATGCTCTGGAACCACAGGGAAGGTGTGGCACTGTGTGCCTCGTGACACCCTGGCCTCCAGCAGGGCAGGAGACTCTGGGCATCCTCAACAAGGGGCTCTGAAGGGCATTACCTGAAAATGGGCCCCAGTTCCTGGAAGGTCTATTGCATCTTCAGGTGCAAGTTATCACGGTTCCGCTCCTTCCACATCTGCAGCTGCCTCAGCCACTTGTTGCCCAGGAATTGGGGTATGGCTTCTAAGGGCAGCACTGAGGCTTTGGGGGCCATGACTGCTCTGGTGCCCAGTGCTCTGGCCCTATGCAGGTACAGCCAGGGACCTGCCAGACACACATGTGTCTTCAACCTGAGTGCCATTCTCATGCTCCCTGCAACCTGATGCAGTCAGGTCCTTTTTGTCTTTCCTAGGAGCCTGCACTGCCACTGATCATGTCATGGGAGGAACTGTCCCTTGCTCTGCCCAAGAAACACAAAGCAGAGGTCAGGGCTGGGGCCTGGAGCTTGAGGCAGAGGAAAGAGATGGGCTGGATCTGATGTCTGCCACGCCTGCTGGTGGGAGGGAGCTGAGGTCAGAGCAGGTTCTGGGTGGAAGCTTGAGGGAGTGCACAGTGGGGTCAAAGGCCTCTTCCTCCCCAAGGGTGAGAGCAGGCTGATGAATGAAGCCATTATCTTATCTTACAACCTTGGATTATTCATCCTTTTCCTTTTGGATCTACAGCTGGAGGGTGGATGGGTTTGCAGTAGTTATATTAACCTACACTTATTTATTATTTATTTATTTTCAGCCTTTCCCCCTTTTTTTGTTTGAGACAGGGTCTCACTATGCAGTTCAGGCTGGCCTTGAGCTCACTTTGTAGCCCAGGCTGGCCTTGAACTGGCAGTGATCCTCCTGCCTCAGCCTCCAGAGTGTTGGAATTGCAGGCTTGTGCCACCATGCTGGGCAGTCTATTTTTTTTCTTTTAAAGGGAATGAAAAATAATGTAAATAACATCAGAAATGAGGGAAAAGAGAAAAGGAGAAAAAATACATTTATTTATTTACTCAAAAATATTTCTTTTTAAAATGACAAAAATTGCATGTCTTTATCTTTTAGAATGCTTATTTTGAAATAAGTATTTATTATTGTGTTAAGGCTAAATTGAGTTAAGTATACATTAATGTACGTATATTTTGTGGTGAGTACACAAAATTACTCTGAGTACACAATAATTACTCTGTTAGCACTATAAAATACACTGTGACTAAACATAGTCACTGCATTGTTTTCATGCACCTCTTGAACTCATTCCTTCTTGCTAACTGAAAAGTTGTTGTTTGACCAACATATTCTCAGTCACCAGCCCTGTAGTCCATGGTCATCATGGTACTTTCTGATTGTATAAATTTTCCATTTTGAGATTCCACATGTAAGTTAGATGTGTAGTACTTGTCTCACTGTGTCTAGCTTATTTCACTTAACATAATATCCTCCAGGTTCACCTTGTTGGAAATGACAAGACATCATTTTAAAGGTTCAATAATATTCTCTTGGTTCCCATCACATTTTCTTTACCCGTCTATTCAGTGAGAGGCATTGGTTTGATTCTGTATCTTGATTATTGTGAACAGAGCTGCACTAAACATGGGGTTGCAGGTGTCTCTTTGGTGCGCTTCTTTTGTTCCTTTGGACATGTGCCAACAGATGCCTGATCACATGCTATTTCTCTTTTCAGTGTTTTAGGATCTCCATTCTTTTATCTGTAATGGTCTTACTAATTTACATATCTATCAACGTTGTATGTTACTTTTTTCTACCTCCTTGCCAGCATTTGTCATCTTTTGACTTTCTTGTGGCAGCCACTGTAACTGGGTGAAACATTTCATTGGAGTTTCGGTTTGCGCTCCGCTGATGAGTAATTATATTGAGCATTCTTTCATATAACTGTGGGCCATTTGCATTTTTTCCATTGAGAAATGTCTGTTCATATCACTTTCCTTTTACTCCAATGGATTACTTGCCTTCTGTTGTTATGTGCTTTGAGGTCTTTGTATATTCTGGATATTAATCCTCTCTGAAGTGAATAGATGGCACATGTTCTTTAGGTTGTCTCTTTGTCATTGTTGATTGTTTCTTTTGCTTGGCAGAAGGCTTTCAGTTTGGTGTAATCCTATTTATTTATTATTTTTTTAATTTCCTGTGCTTTGGGAGTCATATCCCAAAATAAATAATTGCTTTCCTGTTGTCTTGATGTGTTTCTCCTATATTTTCACATCTCTAGGTTTTACATTTATGAATTTGGTGCATTTTGAGTTGATTTTTGTACAGGTGAATGCATTAGTCATCTTTCCCAATGGTACTTTTGGAGCTTCAAAACATCCAGCAGCTGCAATTTGATGGAGAATATGTTTAGATTAGTTCAGGATTTCAGAGGATTCAGTCCATGCTTGGCTGGCCCCAAGGCAGAAACAGCATGCTGGAAGGGGATGGAGGGAGGAAAGCTCTCCACTTCCTGGTGTCATGCAAAGAAGACTAATCAAACAATAATTGAAGCAAGTGAAAAATCAGAAGACAATACAAGTAGCAAAAAAACCTGTTCTCAGGCTGGGGATATAGCTCAGTGGCATAAGCACCTGCCTGGCAAGCGCAAGGTCCTGAGTTTGATCCTTGGTACCAAAACAAAAATACCAAAAGAACCAAAAAAACTGTTCTCAGAAATAATGGAAGAAATCTTTCCAAACACAGGGAGGAAAGTTACATACACATAAGTGAGGCATGTAAAGCCCCAAATAGCCATCACTAGAAGAGAAACTGACCATGACAATTGTATCAGATATCCATCACAGGGACAAAAATCCTGAAAGCTGTTAGAAAAAAGCAATGAATCATAGATAAAGCTAAACCCACTGGAAGTATAGCAGACTTCTCTATACAAACCTTAGATGCCAGAAGAGCTTGGAGTGAAATATTTCAAGCCCTAAAAGATAACATCTTGGAACCCCATCTTATGTATCCTACAAAACATTCCTTTAAAAATGGATGGGAAAGCCAGGCATGGTGGCACATGCCTGTAATCTCAGCACTTGGGAGGCTAAGGCAGGAGGATCATTGTGAGTTTGAGGCCAGCCTAGTCTACAAAATGCAAAATGAGCTCAAGGCCAGCCTGAACTGCATAGTGAGACCCTGTCTCAAAAAGACAAAAAAAAAAAAAAAAATAGATGGGAAAATAAGGTAATTCCAGGACAAGTAGCACCTCAAGGAATTCATCATTACCAAAGCAGCATTACAAAAATTTCTCAAGGGTATCCTAAAAAGAGACAATAAAGTCAACAATGCCAGTATGTCAAAAAGAATGAATGCACCTGGTGAGATTAGCAGGAAAGGGAAAGGGAAAAAATAAGAAACTCAGCAACAGGAAAATAATCCATTGGTAGAAACAGGAAAAAGTCAGTACTTCTCATTCATAACTTTTTTTGAGACAGGGTCTCACTGGCCTCGAACTCATGGTGATCCTCCTGCCTCAGCATTATGCTGTGATTTCAGGTGCACACTACCATGCCTGATTTCAGCGATCACTCTTGATGTGAATGGTCACAATTCTCAAATCAGAAGACACAGATTTGCAGAATGGATCAAGGAATAAAACCCAACAATATTCAGTATAAAGGAAAGACATTCAACTCCAAAAGAAACTCACAGATTAAAATCAGTCTACTAAAAATAGTATTTTATGCTATGAAAACCAGAAAAAAAAGCAGGAGTTGCTATCCTAATTTCCAAGAAGTTGGATTTCAAAGAAATACTGATGAGAAGAGACAAATGTGACTTGACATTGTTTTGCTTTTCTCTTTGTGGTTGTGGTTGGTACTGCTGTTGCTGTTATTGTTTCTTTTATGTTCTGTTTTGCTTTTGCTTTTGAGACAGTATCTCACTATGCAGTCCAGACTGAAATTGAATTCACTATGTAGCCCAGGCTGGCCTAGAACTTGTGTTGATACACCTGCCTCAGCCTTCCAAGTGCTGGGATCACAAATATGAACTATTCAACCTGGCAAGATACCCCTATTGGTTAAGGGAAAAATTCAACAGAAAGAGATAATAAATCTACACATATGCACATCAAATACTGGCTCAAAAAATGTCATAAAACAAGTACTAATGGACTTGAAAAATCAGGTAAACACCAGTATAATTTTAATGGGGACCTCCATATCCCAGTGTTGCAAATGGACAAATCAACAAGAAATACCAGAGTTGAACCAAATCTTCAAACAAATGGACTTAATAGCTATTTATAGAATGTTCCATCCAACATCAACAGAATACACATTCTTCTGAGCAACACATAGACTTTCTCTAAAATAGATCACACACTAGCCTATAAAACAGGCTTCTGAAAATGCAGAAATAATTCACTTTATTTTATGCATTTTTTTGGATCACAGTGTCATGAAACTAGAAATCAATGGCAAAAGACACCACAGAAACTATGCAAACACATGAAAATTAAGTAATAGCTTCTAAAATAATCAATGTCAGATCAAATTAAAGAAGAAATCAGACTATTTTGACAATAAAACAGCCATGCCAATATGGCATACCCAAAACTATGAGACACAATGAAAGCAGTTCTCAGAGGGAAATCTATAGCAGTGAATTCCCAAATCAGAAAAACAGAGACGGTGTAAATAAATAGCCTAATAATGCACCTCAAGGTCTTAGAAAACAGAAGACAATCCTAATCCCATAACAAAATACAAGGAAAGAAAGTAAAAAGACCAGACCAGAAGTGAATGAAATTGACACTATGGCAACAATACAAAGAATCAGTGAACCTAAGAATTAGTTCTTTGAATGACTGAACAAAATAAACAGATGTTTAGCCAGTCTTACAAAATAAGGAAAGAAAAGACTCAAATCCATGCAATTATACATGAACATGGTGAAATGGCAACAGATTCTGCTGAAATCCCAAAGATTATTATTAGCTACTTTGAGAACCTGTACTCTGATAAAATGGAAAATTTCAGAAGAAATAAATAAAATCCTAGACACATACAAATGGCCAAGCTGAACTAAGAAGACATGTATGTTATGGTTTGTATTTAGATGTCTCCCACAAAGCTTCATAAGGTAGTAGCTGGGACTTTTTCAGAGGTGGCTGAATCTAGAGTGTGTGATGCTGGGATCAAGGATCTGTGTTACTAAATGAGTCCACTAATTGGTTTAGCACTGCCCTAATCCTGGAAGCCTAGATAGAATACAAAAAGGGGCAGAAAGAAGCTACTAAATTCATTTGTTGTTTCCCTTGCTTGCTTTGCTACCTTCTGCCCACCATGAACTGTTTCTCCTCTGTAATGCCTGTCTGCCATGCCACCTTGCCTTG